TGGAGAACCAAAACCAGATGTGTTTTGCCCCCAGAACTTGATCAATGTGTCTTCCAAGAAACGGTTTTACGCCTGCCACGTTTGCCCCCTTTTGCTTTGCAGAGCAAAACCGATGCGGCATGACCCTTCCACAGCTGTCCTTGCGGCGATTTCAAGAATCGGCAAGCATGGACCATCCCAAATGGCAATTTGTGTGGCCATTGAATTCGCGACTTTTGGGGGGGCAATCGCAAGTCTTCAGCCAAGCAGCCTGGGGAAAGGGATCTGCGAGGGCTCCGGCTCCGGCTTCGGCTTCGGTAGGCCATTTTTTCAAGTTGACTGACCCTGTCCTCAAGGAGGGCTCTGGTTGCATCGGGTTCAAGTCCTTGGGCCACTTCAATCTTCGGGAATGCCCGGAATTCCAGCAGTTTGAAATAGGCTGTGGCAAGAGGCCACACTTGCAAAGCCGTCAATCCCCCTCATACCTGCCTACCTTCCTTTCTGTTCTCACCTTGCGCTGGTACGAATTGGTCAGAAGAACTTGCAAGACTGGGCGTCCTGAGCCTTATTCAATCGGCTGCGGGAACAAACAAATGGCACAGATCTACCTACATCCGCCCACGTCTGAACATGCATGACTGGCACACAGGTTCAGAGAGTTTGACACCAGCCCACAGAATGGCAACTCATCCGCAGGAACGATTTTAGATTTCTCCCCCGAAATTGCATGTCATCTCGAAATCAGCAACCAAAAGCGAAGCCCCTATCAAAAAAAGTTTGCCCAAAACCAACGTCATGTTTTACACGGAGCGGCAGAAGGATTTGCTCCGGCGCAGCACCATATCCACCTGCAGAGCTGGTCGCGACTTCGAGGACGGCGCAAGCCGAGGCAGCTACGCTTTTTTGTGGGAGTGAAAAAAAAAAGGTGGGTTGAGGTTGAAGCAAAACCAACACATTAATGTTAGGTTGCGAATAATAAATGGGGAGCCAATACACAAAAAAACCCAAAATTATTCACACCCCTGAAAAGCAAAAGGGGGAGTTAATACACACAAGTTTTTGCGAGGGGCAAAAAATCCGGAATTTGATAATTAATCCCTAGTTCAGTGCAACTCCTGTCTCTCTCTGCCCCGCCCGCCCCCCCAACCTACCACCACCACCGACAAGGAGATGATGATTGAAGTCCCTGAAAAGGAAGTTTAACTGAGGTCCCCAACAGCCAAATTCTTTATGACAGCCCTTACTAAAAGTTGCACCTTGCCAAATTTTCAAGGGGGTAGTACAGGGAACACCAGGAAGTCAATAATGAGATTTGTTTAAGGCGGGTTAATTGAGAAAAGTGTTTTAGGACTGGGGCCAGGGATGCCTGCAGGAAAAAGGGCTTCCCTTTCCAAAGAACTACTGAGTCTCCCCAGGAAAGGAAGTTGAAGTTTCCTTTCCAAAGAACTACTGAGTCTCCAAGAAAAGGAAGTTTAACTGAGGTCCCCAACAGCCAAATTCTTTATGACAGCCCTTACTAAAAGCTGCACCCTGCCAAATTTTCAAGGGGGTAGTACAGGGAACACCCAGGAAGCCAATAATGAGATTTGTTTAGAGGGAGTTAACTGAGAAAAGTGTTTTAGGACTGGGGCCAGGGAATACTAAACCAATACTAAACCAATTCTAAACCGTACTAAGCCAGTCAGCAAGAATACTAAACCAATACTAAACCAATTCTAAGCAGTACTAAGCCAGTCAGCAAGAATACTAAACCAATACTAAACCAATTGTAAGCAGTACTAAGCCAGTCAGCAAGAATACTAAACCAATACTAAACCAGTTCTAAACAGTACTAAGCCAGTCAACCAAAATACTAAACCAATACTAAACCAATTCTAAGCAGTACTAAGCCAGTCAGTAAAAATACTAAACCAATACAAAACCAATACTAACCAATACTTACTGGAATACTACTTAGGGAAGACCCGGTCTGACCCTCATTTTGTTTTTAGGGTTTCCTCTATTGACCCCCCCCATTTTGTTTGAGGGGGGGGGCTTTTATTATTCACTCCCCAACATTGCAACACAGCACCAAGCCGATAACAAAACAGAGCAAATCAATAAGACAAGTAACATCTCTGGAAGGACATGCCAAGATCTGCGCACGTCATCAGCCACGGACAAATAGAAGTTGGATGCCTCAAGGTGCCCTGCAAGCAACCAACAGCCTAAACCGACCCGCAAGGCTGTGGGTGCACATGTGGACCAAGGAAGAATAGTCAACAGGTTGCCCCTCGAGCGTGGGAAACTTAATGACGCGTGCGCTCACGTAGCTTTTGGTTGCTTGCTGTTGTTGTAGCAACCAGCTTCTCGCGATCAAGCCATGCATTCAGAACAGCTGGCCACACGAAAAAAAAAACGAGGTTCGCACCGCGCAAGAGTTTGTGACAAGAGGGAGGCAGGCGCACGTCGAGACTTGGATCCACACAAGCCCGTCAAGACGAGGGAGGTCCACCCTTCATCTTGCTCGCAGCGAGCCGCGTATTTTCGGGGTCGCTTTCAAGGGGGAAACAAGATGGGCTTGCTTTTTGCGCCGCGCACCCCTCCTTGTAGGGTTGGAATCAAAGGTAAGAACAGAGGAACTCCTCCGCGGGGTGGATTTCGTCCGTAACAGTACCGGCCGGCCCGGACTCATCAGAAGCTGGCTGGGGGTCCAGTTCCTCTTGGACGTGCTGTGAAGGCACAGCTACCCCACCAATTTCACCAGGTGCAGGAGATGGCAAATCCTCCCGGCGGCGCCATTATGGCATGTGGACATGCCCTTCATCTGCGCCCCTACCACTCTCCTTCTGCGGCAATCATAGTCCATGCGCAGCGAGGATCTCGCTACACAAGTTGACGTCGCCGCACTCCCTCGACTCGAGTTGGGAGATGTAGGATTGTTGGTCCGGGACTGATATCCCAGTCTCACGCTCATAGGCTAGCATCAACATGTGGTGTGCTTCGCCGACGTTCGGCACTGTCACCCTTTTGTTCTCTATCGCGCCCATGATTGACGCATCACGATGGCGGCGTTGCTCTCACTCATGCGTTTCTGCTCCTGGGCGCCGAAGTTGTACTGGTCCATGTCTTCTGCGCGGATCACGCCGCCCTGAGCCAGTAGTTCGTCATCGATTTGAAATACGCAAAGAGGAGCGGACAATTTATATTGTTACCCATCAACTTGGCACTTTTGGTTGCCGCCGCATCTATGCGCTCTTTCCTACTGTCAAAGCTCACTTGGCTTCCAGTAGGGGTCTTTGCCGGTTTCGGATAGAAATACGTTTGCTTCCCGCAGGCTACAAAATTTTTAGAACAAAATTTGATTCTGCCTCTCGTGTCCGCGAGGGCATCCTCGAACTTGCGCTCACCAAATGCGCCCCCTGCGGTTCCACGCGGAACCCGAATTCCGCGTAGGCGCTGCGCCAGCCCTTGCCAAAGGTTCCCACCGTGCCCACGATCTGGAGGGCGTCATCATCGCCCTCTGCAACCAGAAATGCCCAATCGCCTCTATCTAGGCTCGCTTGCAGCATCTCGATGATTCTTGGCTGCTTGCCAGAAGGCTCATCGCTCCCATAAAGAGACACAAATTCGTGATGTAATCTAAAATCGATGTGCCTCGGTCGCCGGATTGGTGAATCATGTAACGGATCACGAAGGTTATCGCTCGACCGAACGATCCTCCATCCTGTACTCCTTGGCAATGCGGTCTGCTACGGTCAAGCATCCCCCACTTTTGTAGGCATGTATGCCCTTGAGAAGGGCAACAATGATCGAGTTCTCTACAATATCTCTGATCTCCTGCGCGCACGACCAGTCAAATGAACCAAAGTCTGTCGATGCCACATGATCATACGCCCTCATGGGGCCCGCGTGCTTTACACTGCGCCCTTCAAAGAGGGTCAGGGAACACCATCTTTTCTAAGATGGCTGCGTCGAACAAGTGAACGGCTACTCCTTCGTCTCCTGCTCAGGCACCCACACAAGTGCGAATGGAAGCTTTCTCCTCCTCGCGTACACATCAGACAGTCCGCCTCTGTCATCACTATGTATGCACGCATAGAATCGGGGTCGGCATCCGCGTCATAGATGAGGTGACCCTTCTCCTGCATGCAGTGAAGACAGCCGCAAACACCGCTTGCAGCCGATCCTGCCATGTAACCGGGCATCTCACGGAGGATGTTTACGTCAAGCTCGGGCATTGTCCTTGCGCCTCCAGCGCGCCCGAGGTACCTTAGTGAGCCTCTTACACCCCTGTACTCACTTAGGACTGCTGATAACATCAAGACCACTCTGAGGGGTGTGCCCTCGAAGTGCTCAAGCATTGCAGTGACGTCTGCAATGGTAGCCATTTTCTCCCTTCTCGTGCCGAGGAAGTGCGGTGGTACTCAAGATTGCAACAGGCGCTTTCTTGAGCCAAAATGGCTACCGGAGACGGAGACGGAGTCGGTGACGACGGATCAGAGACAGGGGCAGACAGACAGACAGACAGAGACAGACAGAGACAGACAGAGACAGAGACAGACAGAGACCGATCAGAGACAGAGACAGGCGGACAGACAGACAAACAAACAAACAAACAACCAAACTCTTGAGACCCCGCCACGACGTAACAAGAAAAGTGGCTCAAGGCGGGGAACCGTCGACTTCTCAGCCCCCAAATGCATAAGTTTCGCTGGTGGCGGTGAGCTGACCCAAACCATTCTACTGCATATGGCTGTGGGTCAAGAATAGGTACCCAAAATGGACCCCTGGTAAATGGAAACATGGACCAAAACCTGCGGTCCCCTCGTGGTTTTAATTTTGACCCATACCCATATCACTTGGGGGGAAGGCAAACCCTGCCAGCTCTTGGTTCGGGTAACGGGTAAAGAAACGCGAAATTCAACCCACTTGAGCAGCGGCAATCCGGTGGTGACACGTCAGGAGTACAAGATCCGAACAAAACTACTTGTCTGTCCATGGGCGAGGAACCATTTGCACACGGTACGCGTGTCTTTCTCCACTGGGTCATTCAGAGATGTCATCGTCGTCATCACTGCTGTCTGCAGCCTCAGAAGCAAGAACCAAACCCAACGTGTCCTGGGCAACAGGACCGGATCCTCGGGTTTGATCTGAATATGTAGATAGATATGCATATATGCATGTACGCATGTATGCACGTATGCACGTATGCAGGAATACACATGTGCATGTATGCATGTATGCATATATGAATGTATGCATGTATGCACGTATGCAGGAATGCGCATGTGCATGTATGCATGTGTGCATGTATGAATGCATGCATGTATGCGTGTATGCATGTATGCATGTATGCATGTATGCATGCATGTGTGCATGCACGTATGCAGGTATGCAGGTATTCACGTATGCACGTATGCAGGTATGCATGTATGCATGTATGCATGTATGCATGTATGCATATGGATGGATGTATGCATATGGATGGATGTATGGACGTATGTATGTATGATTGTTTGTGTGTTTGTATGTTTGTATGTGTATGTTTGTATGTGTGTATGTTTGTATGTGTGTATGCATGCATGCATGCATGCATGCATGCATGCATGCATGCATGCATGCATGTATGTATGTATGTATGTATGTATGTATGTATGTATGTATGTATGTATGTATGTATGTATGTATGTATGTATGTATGTATGTATGTGTGCATATGCAGATATACGTACATAAAGGGAGCATAGAAACCGATGTTACACGACTGGAATGCAGCGCAGCTTGAACATCATGCACTGTAGAAAACTCCCTGCATGGTGTGGGTCCGGTGGTGAACTTCATGGAAAAAAGCCCCATGGTACAAGGCCTAGCAGACAACAGTACAAATACTGAAACCCCTTGATGGGGCCATCATGAACGAAACAAAACCATGGGTGCTGATGATGATGACGATGATGATGATGGTGCTGATGCTGCTGATGATGCTGATGGTGCTGATCATCATCAGCATCCTCATCACTGGCATCATCACCATCCTCAGCATCATCACCACTGCATCATCGTATTATCGCCGTCATCGCCGTCTCATCATCCTTGTCCTCTTCATCATCATCGGCGTCTCACCCCCGTCGTCGTTGTCTCGTTGTCATCAGCATCAGCATCATCATCATCATCATTATCATCATCATTATCATCATCATCATCATCATCATCATCATCATCATCATCATCATCATCATTGCCATCATTATCATCATCATCAGTATTATCATCATCATCATCATCATCATCATCATCATTATCATCATCATTATCATCGTCATCATCATCATCATTATCCTCGTCATCATCATCATCATCATCATTATCGTCGCCATCATCATCATCATTATCATCATTATCATCATCATCATTATCATCATCATTATCATCGTCATCATCATCATCATCACTATCATCATCATGCCCAGTCATAAAGACGTAAATGCAATGCAAAGCTTGCGTTGCCTGCTGTGAGGCGCATGAGGCCACGGCACACTCCATGTGATCAGTGACAACCTCCAGCACTTCCCGAATCTCATCCGCCTAATCAAAAATTGCACGACAGTTCCTCATGCCATTAAATGGTCCTCTTTCCTCAGCTATGGGCACCCTTCTAGGACTCCAGCGGTCTGTATGAACTATTGTCGTCTTTAACTTGATTAAAAGTTGAACCTGTGCATGCTTCACATGCCTGCACAACGATTTGAATCTTGATGATGGGATATGCTTTCCAATACACGTTCTGCCTCTAAAACCTGAGGCAACGGATGCGAGGTCAACGGTTTGTTTCTGTGTTTGCGCGTTGAGTTCCTTCAACGTGCGCACACGCAAGAACAACGCGCAAACAGGCTGTCAACGCATCAAACTCGCTGCTCGCATGGCTGTTTAACACTCCCAAAAGCAACAAGCAGATTCCCGCTGCATGTGTACACCCAGACAACATGGTCTGAGTTCACGCCAGCTGAAGGAAACAAATACGCGGTGCTCAACTTCTTGGTAGCTCCACCAAAGTGGTTCCGCATTCACAGTCCCTCATTTCTCATTTCGCCAGCGTAAGCTGGCCAGCAATATTGAATCTTTCAATAGCCGGCTGAGGATTGGCCAATGTTAGCTCAGTTGCCCAAAGCACCTGGAAATACAAGGTGATTACCTTTCTGGCTCATGACTAAACATGGACCAACATGGGAAAGCCAAAAGGTGAAAAGGGCGGCTTTGGACAATTGAGTTAAAGTCCTCCTGTTCTTAGGCAGCTGCATACCGCAAGAGTGTCTGCATTTGCATACATGCGAGTCATAAACTGCCGGAAAGCGCAGCACAAGGATTGGCAGAAACCTGATTCAGAGTTCCTGGTATTTTCCTGTTTTTGTCTGGTTTGTCTGCTTGAGGGACCCTTTTCTGGAGACTTCTGGTTTTGTGCTTTCTGTTTGTTTCTGGTTTTCCTGCATCTGGGTGAAAACATCTGTCCTTGCCCCCCGGTGTTCTGGTCATCTCTCCGTAGCAGCCCTTGCAGCACTCACTTCACACGTCAAGGTTTGACCGGCTAGAGGTAACCTTTTTAGGTGAGCTTGGTTAAAAATAGATGGGTTCCACTGGTTTAGATGGATTTTTTTTCCATTTACCAGGGCCATCTATTTTTCTACAAGGCCACCTATGCCTAAGCCGGTCTGTTTGGAGCCCTTTGGAGCCCCGCGCCTCCACGCCGTAGCGTTGCCGCATGGCTGCGAAAACCTCTGCGGCGCTCGCTCTTTGAGCGCAACCAAAACGGCCGGGTTTGGGCCGCGAGATCGGCTCAACGCAAGCGTGGCTTGGTCATTGGTATCGTCGAACGATTTTGAACCTCGTTGATTTGACTTGTCGGGTGGGATCCCTGACAGGTTCTCTGACAGGGCGCCAAGGCCAAACGCGCTCACCCAGAAATGCTGAGGGTGGCCCTTAGGCTTCATGCTAAACCATCCACGAAGGGGATCCCCCCAATAAGACAAACCGCTGAGAGTGACTTAGCGGGTGCCAGGCCAAAGGCATCTTCAGTTGTCGCCAACTCACTTCCGATCCAGCGGAATTGGTCAAAACAAGTAAACTGTGTCTTCACCAAGAAAATGGTATTCCCTTTTTTTTTCAAAGTCCAGGAACTCAGGAAGTGAGCAAAAGCTGCTGATCTGAAGGTTGATCATTCCGGTTGACCCCTGGCCTGCTTTGAATGCTACCCGTCGTTCCTGTGGAGCAAGCTGGCATGTTGTTTTCTGGTCGAAAGGGTGAGGAACCGCAACTCAAAAATCTACCTGTCCAGATCACTCCGAAGCGTCGAAGAAGATGACCACCAATACGACATGCCATGTTCAAACACAAATCCTTGGGCGGGGCCTCGTTAAACCCATAGACCGCATATGAACAAGCCCCACTTTGTGGGGCTTGTAATTCAGCCCATCCAAACCGCAAAGGCTCCATGGCAACATTGCTCTCTGCTTGGGCAAAGACTTGGCCACCCCCGCCAAAGTCAGGCCAACGTGGCCATCTTCAAGCATTGCAACGTGGCCATCATCAAGCAGTACAACAAGCCCTTGAGATCCTTTGTCCTACAATTTTCGACCCCAATCCTTGCCTGCTACACCCTCTAGGCTTCCCTCCTAAGCCTGGCAAGCCGCCATGACAAGGAGACCCGGAAAGCCCGGCTGCTCCACGGCTCAACTGGTCGTTCCTTTCGAATCCTTCCACAGGACGTCAGGAATCGAGCATGTAAAGGGTCAGGCCTGGTGCGCCAGGACGTCTGAAATGCAGCCCGGGGAATTTCAAGGGTCAGGTCTGCATGCATTCAGGATCTTCACGGATCGCCCGCTTGAGGTCAGGCCCCCCCCAATCAGGACCCTCTTGAAAATTCTTGAAAAGGGGAAACCAACATGACACCGAGCAGGTCCGTCTTGAAACCAGCAAAAATACACTCTCCCCTGCTAACAAACAAATGACATCACTGTTTAGCAACGAAAAGCTGCCAAGCCCTTCTTGGGTGGGTCTTGTTTTGAGGGTACCCCTTTTTGCTGGTTTTGAAGGACACCCAAAACCCACCATTTTGAAGGTTCCCCTAAAAAGGACACGCCCTTGTTGGATTCCACAGCTACAAACCAAAGCGAGGAGGGCCCCACCCCCGGCCGGGATCCACGCGGAAGTCCGCTTCAGCACCGCTGACATGCGCTGAAGTGCCTCGAATCGAACCGTCGAACCCTCCACCCGAGGCTGTGACTCTGACCTGCACAGTCCCCGCACGTCTGGGGCAAGAGGGTGCCCAAATCAAGCAGGCGGTAAGGGACCTTGCTGAAGGAAACCGAAACGATACCACATTGGAAGGTTTTGGGGTTGGGGGGGGTGCTGTTTGCTACTCTGGGGCCCTTTGGTTTTGTCGTGTTTACAGGGATGGAGACCCCAATTGGTTTCCCGAAAAACCCTCGAAGAAATTGAGACACCCATGTCACCATTTGTCTTTGGAAAGTAATTGGACACCTTAAGGCAGAACAAACAGACTCTGGCAATGTCCACTTGCAGAACTTGCGAAATGAGAACTTTCCTGAAATGCATGAGACATCTCGAGGCTTCAACCAGATTTTAACGACCAAGCATCTCCGATTGCAGCAATCGAAGTCTCGAAAAGGCTCTCCTGGACATGCTCGTGACCAGTGGCCAACTGCAAGGGCGCTCCCGGACACCCCGGAGTTGCACAAGGAACCAATCAAAAGTTCGCGATCTTCCCGGTTTGGAGCAAGCCAGATCAACTAATCCAGGCTGTCCTCGGATCCCCTGCTAAAAGTTCAACTTTTAGTGGTTGAATGGAAGCCCCCGCTAAACCCTAAAAAGCTAAGAAGCTAAGGGGATGGCTGGGAGCCACCAACTAAAGTTGAGTGGTCTTGTTTTCAGCACCCGGAACCCAACACATCCCAGCCTCGCATTTGCCCGCGCCCATGGCTGCGTGCAAGCGCGTCACCATCGGGCAGGACTGGCCGCGGGTTGCTTTCAACATGAGCGTCTGGTTTCTGAGGGTCCCATTGTTTGGTTGAAGAAAGAACCACCCGTTTTCAGGGCCGTTCGCCCATTGAAACAAATATGCAGGCATAGTGATTTGAACAATTGAACTTCTTGTAGTCACCAAATACAAGCAAACCCTCACAGCTCCAGACTTGCAAAGCGAGCGAGTCTTTTCACAAAAAAATGTTGGCCCGGCCACGCCTCAAACTGTCCAGCCCGTTGCTCTTGTCTCAAACTTTTCCGTTGGTTTCTTGGCCTTGTTGCCTTGTTGGCTGGTTGGTGGGTTGGCTGGTTGGCTGGCTGGCTGGTTAGTTGGCTACCACTCCGGCGACAAAACACCGCCACGAAGCAGCGTGCAAGTAGTTTGGGCCCTGCTTTGAGCTGATCCTGGGCGGGGCAATTTCTAGGCCTTTCATATGGCTGTAGCCAGGTCATTGCCAGCTAGAGCCCGACGGAACCTCCGCCCTTCATGTGCAGGTCATGCGCTCCGGCCCCAGCCACTCGCCCATTGACTTGGCCAAGTCCAGCACATCCCCTGTGTCCCCATGGCGTGGTAGGCGTGCGTTCGTGGAACTCGTGCCACCATGTTCGGCGAGTTCATCAACTCCACGGCCACCCGCTCGAATCTGCACTCCTGCCAGTAGTGCGACGCAGTCCGCGTGGTGACTAGGGTCGCCTTGTGCGGCGCCAGCCTGAGATTTTTCAGGCTGCACTGGCGGTGGGTCAAGAGCACCGTCAAAGCAGCACATGTTGTCTGAAAGCGGGCAAAGGAACAATGCATCTGTGGGCCAGGCGGATCTGTCAATAGTTAGCCCTGGCACAACTCCATCAAGTTGCTTGTCCCACCCAAGCTCGGCTAGCTGATCACGTTCCTGAAACCATCTCTTCATAATCTCTGAAGTCTCAGCTGCCACTTCCTTCAGAGCGATGAAGGTCAAAGGCCAAGGGAGTGCTTTCTCCTTTTCTTGAGCCAAGCAGCCAATCGTCTTCCGAAGGATTGATGCCCCACTCTTTGACCCAAAAGGTCTGGCTTTGCGTGAATCCGATTGGCTCCAAGTATTCAAGAGGCCTGAAATAAGCTTCTCTGATCCGGAGTCTCATTCCCATGATTGCGCCACCTTGCTTGCCTTTCCTCTTCAAGGCATGTGCAAATAGGAGGCTAGACCAGTTAATCAAAGTCATGATCGCTTGGCCTGCATTGATCATCTTCATTTTCGAAAAATCGGTCCCGAGGAGCCAGTCTTGCAGACTCCGGGAAACTAAGTGGAAGTCAGGAGACTTGTCCCGCAAAGCTGAACGGAGAATCCCTTTGGTGTGACCACGCGAGCCGGAGTGACATCGTCCTTGCGCGTGGAAAAACTTCCTGTAACATCGCACGCCTGCAATTTGAAGCGTGTGTGCGGTGAGTGCTTCGCTGTGCCATGTGTGCGTGCGCGCATGCAGAAAGGCACGTGATGCGCGTAGTCCAGTTTCATCCCTGCAAAGCACGCATGCGCGTCGCGCGCATGTGCGCGTGTGTTCGGAACTGTGCGGCACGGTACGGTTTGATGTGGTACAGTATGGGATGAGGTCAGGGTGGCTTGGGATAATTTGAGTGTGCCTGGCTGGCTGGCTGGCTGGCTGGCTGGCCGGCCGGCCGCCCGCCCGCCCGCCCGCCCGCCCGCTCGCCCGCCCGCCCGCCGGCCCGCGAGCGGGCGGGCGGGTCGGTCGGACGGTCGGGTCGGTGGGTTTTGCTTGGTTGTGTGGCTGGCTGGCTGCGTTGGTTGGTTGATTGGCTGGTTGG